CGCCGCCCCGCCCCCCGGCCGCCGCACCTCACTCACTCAAACGCCCCGAGCTGGTCTCCTGTCTCCATCCACCCCTCGAACCAAGGCGCTGTTACCCAGACCTTTATTCAGCCACTCGTTACTGTGTTGGATCCTTCCTTCCTTCATTTCAATAAGCACGGGTAGGCTCCTACTATGTGCCCTGCGAGCACTATGCTACGTCCTACACCGGGGAACCAAACACACACGTTTCCTGCCATCTGGGAGTTTACATTCTAGTGGGGGTGGAGTTGCCAGATGTAGCAAATAAAAATACAGGGTGCCCAGTTGTTGTTTTATTTCAGAAGCCGAATAATTTTTTAGCATATGTACGTCCCGTGCAATATTTGGGAACACATTTGGTTAAAAAAATATATATTCATTACGTGGAATACAAATTTAACAGCGTCTGTATTTTATCTGCCAATCCTAAATGGGACTGACAGACAATAAACAAGTAAATGACTGAATGATAGTTTGTGCCATATGAGATGATGGAATAGGAAGGTGAAACCCTTCAATTTAGGAGTTCAGGGAAGATGATGAGAATTCCCACTTGCTAGTATACAATTCCACTAACATAAACCTAATCCCAGCTACCTTAACTGCTTCCATTCTGGCACAACAAAGGCTCCCCCGTTGCAACTAATTTCTTTCTGTACCTTGATGTTTAACAAGCTCATTATGGTCAGAGGAACTTTCCAATTGCATAGTTTCCTCCTGCACAAGGCAGTTCACACACACACACACACACACACACACCCCGCCCCCAATACTTCATATGGATGCCTCTTTCTTGTCATTTAAAGTGAGATTCTATCTCTTACCTGGACAAGCTCTTCAATCTGTAATTTACCACTGTTTGAAGTTATTTTGTTTAGATATTATTTGCTTTTCCCACTAGAATATAAGAGCCTTTGGATCAGGAAACTTATTTATCTTGTTGGTCACTATTTCATCAGCAGCTAGCACTGCATAGATGCATAATGAATATTCATTGTTTGGCCATATTTTAGAATCTAAAATTAGGTTTGATTGTCTCTACCCTCCAAAATCTCTTTGGCTGGCTACTAAAAAGAGTTCTGCATAAGCAGAAATAAGTCCTACATTCTGGTCCTCTCAGGGTTATCAATGAATTGTGTAAACATTTACTACTACCTTGATCTCTGTGTATCTTAATTTCCTTAGGTGTGCAATAATAATGTCTGCCATATATTAAATGCCCAGAGGCACTATTTTTCCAATCCTCACAAAACTATATGAAGTAGTTATATTAACTCATGATACAAATGAGGAAACAGGCTGGATGAAATTAAAACTGGCCGAAGGCCATGCAATTTATTGGTAATTAATGAGTTATGGATGAAAACCAGGCCCAGCCTAGCTTCATACCAGGACAACGTAGATAGTAGATAATAGCCGGATGCACTAAATATATTGTGATAAGACTGAAAACATTATACATGGGGTCAGCCACATACTGCTTTCAATCTCACTTCACAACTTCTTAGTTTCATTTTTTATTGATTTCACTACTTATTAGCTTTGTGGCTTGACTACTTATTTGACTGCTAAGCTTCAGGTTTCCTATCTGTAAATGAGTATATTTAATATTCATTTTACAGAATTGTAAATGTGACATAATATGCAAGTATCAAGCATTGATTTAATGTTCTGCTTCTCCTTTTTCTTTCCTTTCTTTTTAGATAAATGCTCTAAATATTTGTATTCCTAGTGCCCAGTAAGGATATGGAACATGTTTGTTGAAATAAGAGAGAAGACCTGCCTAAAGTTACATAGAAGTAAGTAATAAGATTAATCAGCTTATACATTATCTAATACTTTTGCATATGCCTGGAAATATCTGGGTCCTTAGGATGAAACACTGCAATTCTACTTTTTACAAGTGCTTCAGAGAAAAATTAAAATAGGAAAGATATGGAATATTTTTAAATGACTTCAAGTTATCTTTAGTGTCAGATAGACCTAAAGTTTTAATCTTTACTTTTACCACTTTATAGTTCTGTGACCTTGTGCAAGAATTTAGCCTCCCTATGCTTTAACTTCTGCATCTATAAAATGTAGATGATAAAACACCTATATCAAAGCTTTATTTTGGGGATTAAATTAGATTATATTACCCTTATGCAGATGAAGCACTTAGCATTCCCTACTAATTAGATGCTTTTACTGTCTCATCCTTAGCATTCAGTGCTAATTAGATGTTTTTATTATCTCTCATCCTTAGCACTCAGTACTAATTAGATGCTTTTGACGTCAAATGACAGAAAACCAAGCAAAAAATGCCCCAAATAAGGCCATTTATCATCTTATGTAGCAAGAAGTCTAGAAGTAGGGTGGTTCCAGAGTTTATTATTTCAACATTGTACACCAATACCCTCAATCACTCCGAATCTCTCCAGCTTACCACTTTGCCATTTTTTGAGTGTTTGCTACTCCTCTTGGTTGCAGCTCCATGTAAGCACATCATCACACAGCACCAGATAAAAGCAAGAAAGATAAGTGTCCTGTCTAATGTCCCTATTTAAAAGGGAGAAAAACTTTCCCAGAAATCTCAAAAATAGATATCCTTATATATCCTAACCAGAACATGGCTAACCCAATAACCAGCAAAGGGGAATGGAATTATCAAGAAAGGTCTGCTCTTTCCTAAAGTAGATCATCACCTAGAAAAGAGTGGACAAAATTGGTGTTCTCTTAGCAAGTAATAAGGGGTGCTGAATGCTGTTGGGTAGGAAACCAAGAATATTATGTCAGTCAACAATCCTGTTCACTAAATATTTCTGGTTTTCTTTCTTTCCAGGTATGTAACAGAATTGTCCTTCCTGGCCCCCTTACAGTTGGGTGGGAACATATATTTACTTCTGGCTAATGAGTAATGAGCTAAACTGATATGTCACCTTTATGTTTGCCTCACTTTTCACTGTAATTAGCTACAAATAATTAGAAAAACATATATAAGAGAGAAAGTGAATTATCTTATTACAATTGGTTTTTAAAGCCAAAAACTACAACTTTGATGAGAAAAATGAAAGACTTAAATAAATGAAAGGATATGCTGTGTTCAGTGATCAAAAGACTGAAAAGAGTTAAGATATCAATTCTCCTCATACTGGTCTATAAATTCAACACAATCCAAATTAAAAAATATCCCAGTACAATTTTTTCTTAAAAACAAACAAGATGATGCTTCATATGGAAATGCACTAGAATAGCCAAAACAACTTTGAAATAGAAAAAAAAAGGTTGAGGACTACACTACTGGTCTTAAAAACTTATTATAATGCTATTTTCAATAACACAGTATGGCATTCACATAAAGATAGACAATAGATCATTAGTACAGTATAAATACCACATTAATAGACACATATATTTGTCTCTTTAATTTACTTGGGTGACATTGGTTAATAAAATT